GCGACCGGTCGTGGACTATGAAAGATGCCATTCAGACTATAATTATATGAGTCTAGTGGTCCACAGTAAGGTCCAAGCCTGGGCTACTTCAATTGTGAGCAGAAGTTATCAGTCTCCACATTTGGGTTCCGCCTTTTACAGCTGGCTGGTTCTGCCTTGCCAGGGCTATTAGTATGGACAATACAGAGAGTAACTAACTAGACAGGCGTACTACTCTGTATCTCGATATGTTTATGCTGTATCTGTTACCACGGCGCTATGTCACGCAGTAATTCAATGTATCATTGATCAAATAATTGGCTCAATATATTAACAACCGTTGTAAAATTTTAGGTTCCCGATGGTTCTGTTGAAACGGAAAAAATAGTATGGCCGAGTAGCGGGCATGATGCGGATTGCGGAGAGAGAAACACAGTATGATTAGTCAATTTTTGTCACTGTTCTTTGCGGACGCTCTCTTTACGTAACCGGATCGTTAGTATTGCAGGTTCACGTTGACTGCTTTCTTTACGATGATAACGCCTTGCAAGAAATGATAAATGCCGGGAAGTTGCAACGGTATGTTTGAGGTTAGCTCGAGTTTTCAGACATGTTAAGAATAGGAGAGTTTATCCTTCGATCCTCACGTCATCTCAGGAGATACTGTGTGGACTGCGGCTCGAGAAATGTCAAGGATTTGAACTTCATAAGTCACAGTTTAGCCCATTGTCAGGTGAATTCAGTTCCAACCTCGTAACTCATAATTCCGAATGGGAATACAAATACCGTGAATTTACAGTTGGAATTCATCTTTACCCAGCTTGTTCCATTGAAATCACAGCCAGAAGGATTTCACGTGTTAGATATCGGTTCTCGACTTGGAGCAGTCATATATGCCGCTTCTCTGTATGGGTCAGTTTCTCGGTGAATTCTTAGATATTTGGTTATAACGTATTTGATTATCTACAGTTGCGGAAAGGTATCGGTAACCGGAGTGGAGCTCAACGAGGAATTGGTCAAGCTCCAGAAAGAAGTTATCCGCAATTTTGACCTCCAGGTAAGTTAAAATTATTCATCCTCCATTATTCCAAAAGTAACCAGTGAGCAGTTATTTCCACCCATTTCAGAATATAGAAGTTGTTTGTGCGGATGTTCGCGCTGAGCCAAACCTTGTTAGCCGTGCTGACCTTATCGTTATGAACAATGTGTTCTCATTTTTCATGGAAGCTGATGAACAGGTACCAAAACTGCAATTCACCATAGTAGTATGAGAATCACAACTGAAGACTTGTTGTTGGCTTCTGATTCTCGAAGAAGGATGGCCACAAGTCATGCGTAGCAACGGGATAGCGTAGGGAATCAGATCGGTGGCGCTACTGCTTTCTCTAAGAATAGCGTCAATCGAAAGCTGGAGCGGTTGGAGAAGGGCTTTCATCAGAAGAGCGCTAACTGGAGTCTACTCACAAGAAATGCTAACTGGGTATTGCCTTTTTCCGAGTTAGACTACACCTGCAACTTCTTTTCAGGACCGCAGTTGCAAGATATTCATAGACCTCAGGGGCCAGCCGATACACCAACCGGTGTTTTCCTTTCTCTCTTAGGGGAATACATATGTTTGTCCTATAGAAAAGCAATTATCATAACTTGTTCTCGTAGTGACTATGGACTCCAACTGTCTACACACCACCTCCAAAGGTACCGCAAGGCAAATACATTGCATCAAAGTTTCAAAGGAATCAATTGAGCAAAGTAATAACGTATGAGATGGCGAACGGGGAATAGACAGAGAACTGCTGAAACAGTGGGTGGTGAAGCCAGAGCGCAGAGTAGAGTGTGAAACTCCCTTTATGTTGGTGGCAGAGGCCTAATCGGAGCAGACAGCTGATTTGAAGGGACACTGGAGGAAGGTTCATGTGGTGGCCTTGGATTGAGGGAATGAGAAGAATGAGATCAGCCAGGCAAGGCGGAGAAAAAAATTCTGAAGAAGGTCAGGTGAATATGCTCATCAGCTTCGTCTTAGCTTGTGAATAGAAAGCAGTTAGGAATTCTAAAACGTTTTGCTTTTAGGCTGCCTGTTTCGAATTTGTTCACCAACACGCTAAGAAAGGGTGCTTGATAGTACATAATCCTGAAATAGAGACAGTTCTAGCTCACTTAAGACTGTCCTTCACTGCAGAAGAGTGGCTCGAGAAGGTGAGTGCACTTTCTGATTGGCTGAAAGTACTTCTCAACCCGGTATTCTTGGTTCAGATTCCGATTAATGAAGATTGTGAAATGTTTGCGAGTGGAGACAAAGACGTTCTGTCAGACTGCGAAACGCTCGGTTTTTATAGAGTTCGTTAATGCAGGAAGTTGGAACTACTGTACGCTCCTCCGTATATGAATCATTATTTTATAGTCCCTCTCAATGGCATTAAGCTTTTACAGGCCTGCGTCTGTCCGTACGGGTCAGGACGCGCCATTGGGGATGCCTTATCGAAACCTGACCGAGCACGGCGGCCTAGGCTCGTGGTCGAAACCTTTCATCTTTATGACCAAAGCGGAGCTTCGATGGAGCAACCTCAATGGCGCATCCTGACCATCCCCCTGACCATCATGTTCTGTTTTAGTGTGCAGGAATTTTCATATTGTGTGGACATACCAAAATACAGCCACTATAGTCATCCTCTTCATTTGTTCACTGTCAGTTTTAAATTCCTCTTCAATTTTGGCCCTTTCGATAGCAGCTAATATTTCAAAGTAGGCCAGACCGTAGCAGGGCCTGCCAGCTCTGTTCAGTTTCAGCGCTTTGCTGTTTATTATAACTTAATTCTGTAAATTGTTACTTTGTTACTTTCTATTTGTTTGTTGTTACTGTTCATATTCACCTTGTATTAGTTTTTTGCCCAGATTCTAAGTGAGTTCTATGAAATTGTTACTAATAAAGGTACTTTCGAGAGGAGTTTTCTTTTCGAAAATAATTTGTGGTTATGTATAGCGCAAGCAGTTTGTCACAAATGTGGAATTATAACAGTTTTGCACTGAGGGATACGTCGGATGGCATCGGTCTGGTTGTGTCGGTCTCGTCAAGTGGTACTTGTCCAACATTCGAAGATACTGCTGCCCACTGCTTATATGGCACCTAGAATGTGCATTACCAATAATACCTGCGCAGTTGGTGTCAATCGTTCTTGCGGGAAACTGTGACGAATTGTGCGCTGAATAAACTATGACGTAGTTTGTGGGCAATACAGTATAGTTGGGTCATGCACAATTCTAAATATCAAACACCAGTACCCTCATATTCTTTCTCGAAAATAGGGAAACCGAGAGAGTAGTTTCTTAGGTTTCATCAGTATTTGGATTAAAAGAAGTGGCCAGCAATTGTAAGTAGTCAAACGACTCTCTACTCACAGATTGCGTGCTCCAATTTTCCATCGCATTTCCGCGATACGCGGCGGGTGCGGCAAGCGCGACGCGATGTTCGGGGAGAAGTACTGCACCATATGAATGCGTATAAAGCTTTGAACGGAGCGTCAAAGCCGCGTTATCGTCTGCGCAGCCGCTGACGGTTTTTGGGTTGAACCATATTATTTTCCAAGAAAAGCTGCGTAGAGCTCTCACACAATCACATACTTTTGTCAAATTGTACCTTAGTAGTCAATGAAGGAATATGTCAAACCCCCGTACAAAAGAGATTGCAAAAAGTGAGTAACACAACCTATAAAAGCTCGATCAGAAATTATTCAGCGCCCATCCGTGCGGTATTGATCGACGATTGGTATTATCAACAGAGCATCGGCGCTGCTCGGCGCTCAACGCTCTCAACGCTCGACGACCTACTCTGAAAGAAGCCAGTACGATTCCCTCGTGAGTTGCCTGTGGGTTTTGCACGGAGTCCTCGCGTCTTCGCCTTTCTCTTTCACCATAAGGTACTACAAGGATTGAGTTCCATGCTGATTTCTCTTTTCTATGGATTAAGAAGATGAGAAACCGATCTCATCGTCCTAATCCATAGAAACGCAGCTTGCAATGCTTGCAAGATGGAGGAATTGACCAGCATTCCCGTATTGGCGAGAAAGCGGGGAGTGGGGCGCGAAAACAGCCAAAGCCAATTAGATCTACAGGACCCATCGGCGGCATTTTGCCAACTTTTTCGCGCGAATGCGTTGGCTTTTCTTCGTTGTGCTGGTGTGTTTCGTCTTCCACCACGATCTACTTCTTTGGTTTAACGATGGCACAAGCCGAATTTGAACTAATGTTATTCGTGAAGTCGTAAGACAACTACTGATAGAAGTAGACTTAACTATGAAGCAAAAAAATTTGGGTTCTAGTGAATTTTCGTTCTTACCCCGCTTGTCCCACTCCACAAATTTTGTTTATTTTGGTACTTGTATATGTGATTTTTTAATTTCCCTTCCTCATAGATGTAGACTTCGGTGCTTTATCTATAAAGAAGAATTACAAGTGATCACAGTTTCCATCCGTTGGGGGGAACGTCCAATTGATGTTTTGAAAACCCTCCGATACGTAAACATTAGAAACTGGAGCTTTGACCGCTGAATTTTGTTTGCTGATCTTTTTTCTCCATTCACCCGTCACATATTCCGAATTTCCATCCCATCACGTTTTTAGAACGTTCATTCTTCAAACGGTGACTGATATGTTCTGTTTCAATGGTTGTAGGTGAGCTATTCAAAGGCATCAATTTGTCTTCGTTCGTTCTTTCTATGACTGAATATAGTCTGTTTTTTCCTGAATTTAAACGCAATTGATATACATTCCAACAAAATTGGTATACGTGACGGCAAACGCCGTTTTATTGATAGATTGGAGGATTTTTCATAGAAAAATCTGGTTGTGAGCAGATCAAGTCTTGGATGATGGTACAATTCCAGAACAAGTTTTAGACACAGGGGTCTACCGGAGTGCTAGTATCAGCTGACTGTTTACGTTCACCTGTAAGCAGGCTATTTCCCCCCTACACGTTATGGGCATACGCAAAAACGAAGAAGGGGGCATTCATACTATCGGCGTTTCTTCGTCGGTCGTCGATCGATGTCGCAAAATAGTGTGCGTACGCGAGAGACACCCAAACAGCTGGACTGGCTCACGCGTTAGTACGTAACATGGAAATGTACGCCTTCTCATTCCTTCTCAGAAATCCATGCAAGGCTTTTTTAATATTCGATTGAGCAGTCTGTTCATTGTTAGAGCGAGGGGTACGTAATTTATTGGCTGCTTTCATAGTCCGCCGGCGCACTGAGGTAAAACGAATTAGTTCGTATGTAAGAGATCTACGTCTGTTGCATTTTATTTCACGGTCAGAACAGGTAAGAAACGTGAAATAAAATGCAACAGACGTAGGTTTCTTACATACAAACTAACTCGTTTTACGTCAGTGAGCCGGCGGACTATGAAAGCAGCCAATGGCGCATCTGAAGAACCAAGTGATTTCCAATTTTTCGAGTTGAACTAAGGAGATAATCTAAGGTTGCGCGTGGGAAAACAAAGAAAGTAATAGGAAAATGCGAAGCATAGTGCTGCTGAGTGGCTTTTGAGAATTTCATTACAATAAGTACTACAAGTACTACTGAGCGCATTCACAGTGCGTCGTCGCCGACGGTTGTCAGTCGATACGTAGCTCATCGATGACTCAGTAAAGCGCCGCAGGCCGATACAAGGGACGAGTGAGGAAGGAAGTTATGGTTGTAAAAATTTCATTTAGCGACTAGAGGAGAGGGTTAAGACTTCACTTATCCCAGCAAGGAGTTCGGTTTCCTCGGTAAAAGGGAAGGTGTACGGTTCTTTGAGAAAAAAGTTATTTGACTCATGTTTTAAATTTGTACATATGTTGGTATAGCGGTCCAGGTATACCTCAGGGGTCCGGTATCTTCTCCCCGGAAACAGCTTCGCGTTCACCGCACCCAATCGCGCGCTTTGAAGGGAAAGGTTTGAGTCCTTAATGCAAAGATAGGGTCGTCGCCGCATGAGCTTTTCCGCTTGCCGTGGGAATTCGGGGAGAGATTCCGGCGCCCCATATCTCAGGTGAGCGCACTCTTTCCCGATATCGATTGATGACTGACGCCGACGTTAGCGGAAAAACGGCGGTAGTATGAATGCGACAATTGACTAATGACTGGATCGAGTTAAAGAGAGGCTGTAAACAGAGAAAAAATTGACTGGCTCATTTTCAAGCTCGTTTTCTTGCATCTTATTACTACAGAATGTGCCTTCAAGTCGGCCATCATATTTCACTCACGTCCTTTTTTAACAGATTTTATGGTATGTTGCTAACTGACTGAACTCTTCTATTTCTAACAAAAAACGAGAACAAATTCGTTTTGCAAAGCTTTTTGCCTTATCGGCTGATGCTTCATACCATTATTACACAATTATCCGTCTTATTTTACGATTACCACCAACGGTAAGAAACAGCAGTGAGGTCACAGTAAGATTTAGGATCAGTACCGGGAATTTTTCTGCTCTGCAACAGCATCGTTATTGGTATTTTGAGCCAACTAAAGCGAGAGAGAAGAAGACCCAAAAACTAAATGACTCAATTTATCGTTCTTAATGCACCGTCTCCTGTTGAAGAACTTGATGTGGTGGACATTCTTCAGTCTTCTCGTTCACATTTTAAATAGAAGAGTGTTGATTTCAGAAAATCCGTGCAGTCGAGGAATGATATACAGCTTGAGTTTCTGGAATACTGCCTGGTCGGAGACTACTCAAAGGTCAGGGAGATGCTGGACACCAATAAAGTTGATCCGAAATATCGACATCCAGTGAACGGCTGGTTAGTTCCTTTATTTCAGATACATGACAAATGAAATGATTAAGCAGGTGACACAGGGTTCAGCTGACATGTAGTGTTCCCATTTTGCTTACACAAACTTTTGTTAGTGGCCCCAGGTCGTAGGAGCGCGCCTGTTGTCTTCTTCTTTCGATTTATTCACCACGGGCACCGGTCGCAATGTCTGGATACAAGTTTTTCGCTCATTTTTCTGTCTTTTCGTTACTCTGCTAGGTCACTTTTTTCTATGTGTATAGGGATTCGGCAAACACTCACGTAATTTTCGCGGGGCACGCTATTTGCGTTGATCGCGTGCCAGATTTTGAGGTTCTGTGGCTGATCCTATCTTACAGAGTTTTCACTGTTTGTTAGCATTCGGTAATATATGTGCGCTATGCTTAATTTAAATGAATTATTCACACGTTTGCTTGGGAACTGCGAGAGTGTTTTTAAATGATCAAAAGCGCTCTCATCGGACGTCTTGCTTTATTCACATAGGTAATAGGTGCAAGGCGCAGTTGGTGAATTTTCTCGAATTTCTCCAGGAGTCGGGTTTAATGGATTATCT